AAAAAAAGAAAAAAAAAAAGGAAAAAAAAAAAAAAAAAAAAAAAAAAAAAAAAAAAAAAAAAAAAAAACAATCAAATATTTCTCACGCAAAACTAAGCCTGGACCAGTACTGGCGTGCTACGGTGGTTGACAGACCTGGAAAAAATTCACGGAAAAAAAACAGTGTCAAAAAAAAAAAAAAAAATAAGTCAACGCCGGAGACCTGGACATTTCAGAAAAAAAAATTATTTTCTGAAAAAAAAAGTTTTGGGGGTTAATGTGATATATTTGTTTAAATCCGGGGTCAATGTGTAATATTAAGGAAGTTAGATTGGGTGGAATTGATAAGAATTATAGTATTGAGGGTATTTTAGACTAAAGACATGGGGATGGGCTTAATTGAGAGACTGTTTTTTTTTTTGACCAAAATGCATTTAAGTCCCATGTGATGGGCCTTTTTGCCATTTGCCATCTGCCCTAGTTTTAATTAATTTAAGGACTAATTTTATTTACCTTCCCTATACTAATGGAAAACCTTCACTTACCTCCCCTGAATTATATGAAATTGGAGAAAATTTTAGTGATGACATCTGTATTGTTTCCGTATCCGAATATATGTTTCTCAATCCTCATTATTTATCATCTTAATTTGGATTTATTTTAGTCATTTTTTTTATTCTTTTTTTTTTTTTCGAGTAAAGTCAATTTAAAATTCACATATATGGAGTTATTTACTTATTTTAGTCATTAATGCACTATTAGCATGTAAATTAATCTTGTAAGTCAAAAACTTGCCCCCTGAAAAGTTAAAATTGTTTCAACTGGCCCTTCAGACTTTATAATCCTACTTTGAATATTTAAATTTGACCCCCCAAAAAATAAACCTACATAATTAACTACAAATTTTTTTTGTAAACTTTTTTTGGTTAGAAGATGCAAAAAATGCATTACCCCTGTAAAGCCAAAATGGTTGTTAAATCACAAATATTGAACCACAACTGACTTTACACTGTCTATGAAATCAAATCATAATTCTCAAAGCTAAGAAACAATACCTTAACAAATATATTTGCAGCAATATTTCTGCGTGAATCTCAATTGGAATAGATTACCCTAATTGGTTTCCCATTGAGAAATAGTGTAGTTCAGTTCCACCAATGATCACATATTCCATATATATTGGAATAGTCACCAATTCGCGCTTCAATTGAAACAAACGCGGTCCATTGCTCTGTTTGAATCGTGAGCGCAAATCATCGCTTGAATTTCTTTCGACGAAGAATTTAAAATCCAGGAAAATACCATATTCTGATTGTGGATCCATGAATTGAGAAGAATCGCATCATCAGCATCAGGTTTGATGATTGTGCCATCGAGAAACCCTAGCTAATTTATTCTTCACTGTGAGAGAGATAGTGATTGAGCGGCTCCAAGAGGCGTAGTTATCTCCGGTGGGCAATTGCGATACCAGGATCAGCCCGGGACCGTCAGACGGATGAAGATAGTAAGGACTCGACGGATCGTTGATGAGAGAACGAGACCGAACAAATTAATGCAGCCCAAAGAAATCACAAACGAAACGAAAATGGAAAAGAACACGATGTGAACAAAGGATTGAATAATGGTTAATTTGATATTAAATTTTGTAAGTAAATAGTGTATCTAAAAAAAAAAGAAAAGAGATTGAGAAAATGGTTAATTCTCTGATCTGAATAATGAAAACCCGGAAAATAAATAGAGGAAACTAATAAATAAATTATGAAATTCATGATAGTAAATTCCTGTGATTCCGTTCAGATTTAATTCCAGATATATTCTTAGATTTCTTTAGTATCTATAACTCGAAGATTTGCTCAATTTTCATTGCTTGAAATTCTGATCTTTTACTCATCTTACTTTTACATGAATTCTTTATAGATGCATGTTACTTTTGATGTTTTCTTACAATACATGAACCAAGACAGGCCTATATAGATTCAAGTGTAATAATCGGACAGGCTGGCGATGTCGAGAAAGAATCAGGGTCGTATGAAAATATCAAGTACATGAAATGTGAACCCAAGAATAGTTTCTTCCCCGATCTCTCGAAAACCGCTAGAACAGATGTTATCTTCTTCTGCTCTCTAAACAACCCCACTGGCCATGCAGCATCTCGTCAGCAATTAGAACAAGTCGTTCGATTCGCACAAGAGAATGGATCCATCATCGTATACGACTCGGCATATGCTGTTTATATTTCTGATGAAAGTCCTCGTTCGATATACGAAATTCCCGGGGCTGAAAAGGTAAACTTATAAAATAAAAATGATCGTTTATAAAATTCGTTTGAAACCCTATTTGTTACCATAAATAAAAATGATAAAATTCATGTGTTAATTTCGACTCGATTCTTTGCCACAGGTTGCTATAGAAGTCTCATCCTTCTCCAAGATTGCTGGATTTACCGGGGTCCGCCTAGGCTGGACCGTAGTGCCAAAGGAGCTCTTGTATTCGAATGGATTTCCTGTAATAAACGACTTCAACCGAATTGTCTGTACATGCTTTAATGGAGCTTCGAGAATAGCTCAGGCAGGTGGGCTAGCTAGCTTATCTAAAGAGGGTTTCAAGGTCAGTTTCTTACATCACAAGTAAAGTTTGGAAGAAGTGATTCTAAACTTTTTTTGTTTTTTATTTTTGGGCAAAATGCTTAATTTCGAAACTTTATTTCAGCGGTAATCTCACTTATCGACTACTACAAGGAGAATGCCGAGATTCTGTTGGAAACTTTTAAGTCGATGGGGTTGAGAGTTTACGGAGGCGTAAACGCGCCGTATCTTTGGGTACATTTCCCCAGTTCGAATTCTTGGAACGTGTTTGGTGAAATTCTCGAGAAACGCACATAATTACAGTTCCCGGGAGTGGATTTGGTCCAGCTGGGAAAGAGTTTATAAGGGTTACTGCATTCGGTCAAAGAGAAAACATACTTGAAGCTTCGAGAAGGCTAAGGAGCTTTCTCTAACGCATACGTAAATTGCTCTATTTATTCATAAAAAATCTAAATATTGCTATTTGCGTCGTGGAATTTCGTAGTTAATCTAGCATATTTCGGTTTTTATACTAGCAAAAATCGAGCATTTTTTTATTATTATTGTTCTTTTTAATAATAAAAGACTGAAAAGAGCACAGTTTCAGCATTGTATCCTGTAACTAGTTTGAAATTTCTTTAATAAAATTGCATTAATATATGTAATCATAGATGCTATAGCCTCACATTGTCATAAATGGAATATACTCGATCTCCGTAAATTCAGAAATCGTTACTTACTATATATAGACAAAAGAGCGTTGACATGTCATTAAAGTTAAAAGTTTTATTATTAAATTTGTGAAATATATACAGGCGTAATGTTACATTTGCTACTTATTTAACCCTAAAATCCCCGCAGCAACTCAAAAGACGGCACGAGCATTCAACCCGAATATCGTCTGCATCGTCAGCAACCCGTCCAAACCCGAACAACTATTCCTCTTCATCAACCCGAACAACCCGAATAATGTCTGCATCATCTCCAAACCGGTATTTCTGGCGATCATCAAGTTCAAACTAGTATTTCTGGCGATCATCAAGTTCAAACTACTCGCCCGGGGGTCGCGACCCCCCATCTCCAAGCAATTCTTCATCAACCCAAAAAACGCATGCATCGTCAGCAAGCTGTCGGAGCCCGCCTGGTGACTTTTTCCGACGACCCTCTTCAAGTTCAAACTCCGCGCAACCTTTTCCAAACCCCCGTGCAGTCCGACGAACGGAATCATACTCTTCAAATCGTACACATTCCCTTTGAAATACCCGTTGTTCAGAATCTTCGTCAAGTACGCGAAATCGTACGGCCCGTGGAAGGTGAGCCAGACCAGCCTGCCGGAATATGACCGCATCCCCAGCTCCGAGCACTTGAACAGCAGGGCGAACTCGCGTGAGTCGATCCCGTATTTCTTGTTCCGTGACAAATCGATCCCTTGTTTCTCGAGTAGGGATACGGATTCCTTGTTATAAGGGTCGATGGCAGAATCAAATTGAAAGTTGAATTCCCAGATTTGTTCCCGACCGGTTTCCGCCGAGCGGGGTAGATTGCCGTACCTGTCGAATATTGTGAGGCCGAGTTGGATAATTTTTAGCGCGTCGACGTTTCGCTTGATGTTGGAGTAGAATTCCGCCGGGGCGCGCATGTGTGGTGGAACCCCGTCGGGGTTGTAAATTGTCCCTGGAAATTCGGTGTCCATCGAGACGAAGGTGAACTGGCGGCGATCGGGCGGCAGACACTTATCGATGTAACGAAACTCCTCCTCCAGATTTGAAGCCCAAACATGGCGTACTTGTACGTCAGACGAAGAAGAAGAAGACGCCATTGTTTTTTTCCTTTTTTTTTCTTTTTCTTTTTCTTTTTTTTGGTTGTATTGTAGATTTGTAGTGCGTAAGTAGGGTATATATAAAGAATATGGGTAACTTGTAAGGCAAGTATTTGGGTTTTTATGCCAAATATTAATTATGGTAACTAAATCTTTAGGAAGAGTTCAACTCATTCAATTTGATTAACAACCAATCACTATCGAATAAGGATTTTCCTTTTTGGTATTTGCATCAAATTGATTAAGATCCAACCACTATCGAACTAAGGATTTCTTCACGTATTTGATTTTTATTTTTGTCGGTTCGAACTTTTATTTTATAATATTTGTTTCAGGCTTTTTATATAGGAATTATAAATAAATATTACCAAAAATAGGGTAGGCCCAAATATATATTAATTAGGGTAAATTGCAACCACACCTGAGGTATTGTCAAATTACGAAAACTCCCCTCTTGTATGGGTAATTACAACCACCTCTCGACGATAAATTTTCTTATACGTCCACCCTTGCGATTTCAAATTTAGTGGAATCTTCGAGATTATATGAAATATTATCACTTATGTACCCGTTTTATCCCATTTGAACTCCACATTTTGAATCAAGATGATCATAATATGTGTTTTTTGGCTTGTATATATCAGATTGTGGTGCATCAGAAACTATATTCTTACACAAAACGAGAACAAACTAGAACGCATTCCATGAAATCTAGATAATTATGTTGAATTTGACACCATAAGAGTGGAGGTGTAAGAAAAAGTCACAGTTAAGGGAGTAGATGTAATTATCCAAATAAGAGGGTTTTTTTTTTTGTAAATTGATCATACCTCAGGGGTTGGTTGTAATTTACCCTATTAACTATTACGTCTAACCACCCTAACACACATTTTTCTAACACCGAAAAATAAAAGGGGTTATTACTTATTCATTTCTAAATTTATTCCCAATTTTTTTTTTTTACAATAAAGTCCAGATGTGTTTAAAAGACTAAAAGTTCAAATAGAGTCAAATCGATTTTTTCGGTCAAAATTGATGAAATTGGAGTTAAATTATGATTATAATTAGAAATTAGATTTAAAGAGTTATGGATAATTTTCATAAATATTAAGTTTGTCTATATTTATAATACATATGAATTTATTGGCAAAAGAGATAAAACACCTAAACCTAAATCAAAAACTTATGCATAGAAACCCAAAATAAAATAAAATAAAATATTCCTTAACGTGCCATTGAAATTGAGAATTTGAAGATACGGATTTTAAATTCACAATCATAAATTAATTAAGTTTGTTAATATGAATTCATTTTGCAATGTATCCAAATATATGTTTCTCAATCCTCATTATTTATCATCTTAATTTGGAGTTATTTTAGTCATTTTTTTTATTCTTTTTTTTTTCCGAGTAAAGTCAATTTAAAATTCACATATATGATGGGGTTATTTTAGTCATTAATGCACTATTAGCATGTAAATTAATCTTGTAAGTCAAAAACTTGCCCCCCTGAAAAGTTAAAATTGTTTCAACTGGCGGCCCTTCAGACTTTATAATCCTACTTTGAATATTTAAATTTAACCCCCCAAAAAAATAAACCTTCATAATTAACTACAAAAATTTTTTCTAAACTTTTTTTGGTTAGAAGATGCAAAAAATGCATTACCCCTGTAAAGCCAAATTGTTGTAAGCTTTTTCCATGTTTCTTTTCCCTCCTTTCATATATGCTTGAAACCGAGTCGTAATTCTTCAGAACCTCCACCGGCAATGGCAGCTTTCAGAGCTTCCGGCGACTCCAACAAGTGCAATACCTCTGTTTGGTCCATTTCCAATAGCAAACTCGTAACTCGAGGAGCTATCTCAGGCTCCAATTGTTCCACAAGTGGGTACAAATCATCAAGAATATTGTGCATAAATATAAATCGGAAGCGTACCTTACTCCGGTGGAATTGATATGAAACAATCATGGATCTTCCAAATCATCATGTACATCCGAACCCGAGAACCCTTTAGACTTCTCTTCGTTTTCTTTATGTCGATGGAATACATAGAGAATTGAATTCGTACATGTGACCCGGGGACCATGACCAATATATATAGATAACCTAATGGGCTATCTTGTGTAATTTTATTTTATCCCATCACTATAATAAAATTACCCTAAATGTCTCTACACATTAAAGGCCCATACCCTATTAGACACATTAAAGCCCAATCTAGATAAACCTTAGTCGATCACTTTAACGGGCTTAACCTTACGTGACAGTCTTGCAACACATAATATTTCACATATAAGTCCAACGTTGGATTAATGATCCAACAATCTCCCACTTGGACTATATGTGTAACTTTATAATTATAGGTTGCATAAATAAATTTTGAGCTCAACTTTGCTGTCATTACTGAAGTGTGTCTCGTCCATCAATCATGTTAACACTGAATCAAAGGGGCCTTCGTTCACATTAGTCGTAACGGGACCCAACAATGGTCACAGTATCAACACAATCGAATGACATAGATTATGATGTGGATGTGTAATATGGAAATGTCATGCAATGTGACCTTAACATACCTATTTCCAAATGGTCCTCCTTAATGAGATCAAACCTTAACAAATCAGAGTGTGAATAAACCAAAACCTTATTTCTGCAGAAATTATCTTAAGAGTATCCTTAATTCGAAATAACCCAAAAATTGTGTCTACGCCAAAATAACACATTTATTATAAACTCCCACTAAAACCGAATATCTTTAAATAATATGACACCCATACGAGCAATAGACACATGAGACCTTTTGGGTGACATCCTTAGTGTGTACACATAATGGAGTTTATATCGACGTATTTTATAGACACCTATCCACTCCGTATATTACAAAATAAGATGCTTTTATAAACTGATTACCGTAGTTAAAAGAGTTTTGGGTGTTGGCTAAACACTCGTACTTAAATTCTCTTTTAATTAGGTATACATTAAATGGATCTATAATGTACAAGCATCATACAAACTCGAAATCAAAAAACCAAATGATCTCCCAAATGAACTGATTTCGATAAATGAGCATAAATGACCTTATGTTCTCTATAATTACTGTATAATCCTTTTGTTTCTATTCAAAGATCCACTTCAAAGGATTATTTATATACCTGCCTAACTTTATGTACGATTTAGCCGAATGCGTACGTACCGAAGTGTGCATATAATTTCCCAAAGCTGACAGCAAGGGAACCTTTTGCATTCTTCTTTACCGTAAGATCTTTATTGGGCATTGAATGAGAGGTGCAGGATTATCTCCCACGTATCACATGGTATATACAAACATTAACTTTATTTACCTCACAAATATGAGATAATCATTATGAGTTGTAACACCATTTAGGGAATCCTAAAGTTCTAAAATAGAGTCCGTATTGAGTGAACTCTAGGTGATTAGACTTTGTTTATAACTTTTTCAACATTGCCTATTGAAATTTCAAATGGTCTCAAACATACATTTGTGACCAAATGATTTCACCCTTTTGACAATTGATAAGATCCTTAATGTCATTATCATCTTAAATTAAACGCAATTTAATATTGCATTCTCTTAAAGTTGTTGAGTTTATCTTTAAGGAGCAGTTTCCTTGATGTGATCCTGAGCCTTGGGGATGAGGTGTTGAAGGAAGTTTCAGAGGAAACTATGCCCTTGCCATTTGGGAGAAATTGGAGTCAATCTATATGAAGAAATCTCTGGCAAATAGATTGTATCTGAAGAAGAAACTGTACACACTTCACATGGAAGAAGGCACTGAAATCAGAAAGCACTTGGATGAGTACAACAGAATAATCCTTGATCTGCATGCAGTAGGGGTTGAAATTGAAGAAAATGATCAAGCTATTATCCTCCTCAGTTCATTACCAAAGACATATGAGCATATTGTGGATACAATGCTGTATGGAAAGGAAACACTCACTATGATAGAGGTCAAGTCAGTGCTAAACTCCAAGGAGCTACAGAAGAAGCAAGGAATGAGCTCAAATATAAATGGTGATGGACTCACAGTGAGAAGAAGAACAAAGAAGAAGGACCAAAGGAAAGGCAGAGGAAAATCTAGATCTAAATCTAGACAACCTAACAAAGATACCAGAAGATGCTAAAAGTGTAAAAATGAAGGTCACATTAGAAGATTTTGTCCAGAAAGAACACAAAAGAAAGTGGACTCTAACTACAGTGATAAATGAGACGCATCTGTAGCATTTGATGGTTATGAATCAGCTGATTTATTGACTCCAATCAATATTGAAGAGGGAGATGTTTTAGTCACATCATACCTAAATTCAGGTGGAGAATGGGTACTTGATTCTGGATGCTCATTACATATGACTCCAAACAAGAAATGGTTTCAAGACCTCAAGGAATCAGAGAAGGGAATGGTATTTCTTGGAGACAACAAAGCCTGCAAGATCTTGGGAATTGGAGCTGTAAACTTACAATTATCCTCTGGTCAGAAGAAGCTGGTAAATGGAATGAGGTATGTTTCTGCCTTGAAGAGAAACCTTATATCTATTGGTATGTTGGATGAAGTTGGCTATGAAATGAGAGCTAAGAATGGAGTGATGAAAAATCCTAAAAGGATCTATGATAGTGATGAAGGGTATATTGAGAAATGGCATTTACTTCCTAGATGGCTCTGTAGCATCTAATACAGCTATGTTGGATGATACCACTTTATGGCATAAAAGGCTTGCTCACATGAGTGAGAGAGGAATGCAAGAGCTAGTGAGGCAGAAGCTTCTTGATGGGAGCAAGATTAAAGGGCTAAAGTTTTGTGAAAATTGTGTTTTGGGAAAAGCAAAAAAGGTGAAGTTCAGTCAAGCTGTTCACACAACTCAACACAATCTTGAATACATTCACTCTGATTTGTGGGGGCCATCAAGGACTGAGACTATGGGAGGTTGCAGATATTTCATGTCACTTATTGATGAGAAATCCAGGAAGGTGTGGATTTATCCGTTGAAAACAAAGGATGAGGCATTCTCAGTTTTCA